TGTGTTGATATAGTAATAAAGATAAATGTCTGATCTCTAATTGATGGCTTCTCTGGACGTGTTGATGTCTGTATTTATCTTATCTTTCATTATTCTGTGGTTGTTCATCAGTGTGCGCATGTGAATTTGTAACTGAGTTTACTGTGCATTTGATAAAGCTCCTCAACCTAAATGTAGTCTTTTTTTTTCTCTCATTGATAAACCTGTAACCTGTATGCCAATCAAGGAACCACATCTGCATTTTAGCGAGGCTAGAACAGTTTGTACTTCTAAGTCACACAGTCAGTGATAGGATCTGGGAAAATCCGTCCACTAACTCCACTAAGGCCTAAGAGGTGAGATTAACGGGATGCCAAACTCAGTTGAGCTATAAGCCAGAGTTTTCTGTTCATAAAAGTGGATCTCTGGCTGGTACCTTATGCTCAACATGTGTTAAGAGTTTTGGTTCAAAGTCTGGAAGTGCCACATTTTCACAGATTTTATTTTATTTTTATTTTTTTTATTGACAGCATGTTTTAAGTGCTGTGTGGATTTACAGCTGGTGGAAGCTATTTTGCATATGCAGGTTGTTAAGGCATACCTGACTACTACTACACTTTTAATCACTATTTTATCATCATCATCATCAATCAATCACATCTCTGACTGGAGTAGGCGGCGCTCACAGGGATCGTTTTGTGTAGCACAAGATTTTTATATAGGCACAAACCAAGACTGAAGCAGAAAAGCTTAACAGAGCTAGTTGATAAGCACTGTCGTGACACCTGTTATCTACAGGTGGGATTTTAGGTTTTGTTAAGCCAGCTACCACAAACAAAGCCTGGATGGTGCAACATATTTATAAATTTCCCCAATCCTCAGGGTTAAATCACAACTCTTGCTCAGTGTTCTCTGGGATGGGCTCCAGCGTCCTCACAAGAAAACCGATGGGCGGATATAGCCAATTAAATACATCTACAACATCTTTAATACTCAAATATTGGCAAATATTGTTTTCTATTTTTATTTTTCCTACTATAGAGCCTTGTTTTTTCTGATGTAAATGGCCTGCATTTGTATAGCGCTTTTCTAGTCCATAGGACCCCAAAGCGCTTTACACTACATTCAGTCATCCATTCACACACTGGCGATAGCAAGCTACATTGTAGCCACAGCTGCCCTGGGGCGCACTGACAGAGGCGAGGCTGCCGGACACAGGCGCCACCAGACCCTCTTACCACCACCAGTAGGCAAACACGGGGTTAGTATCTTGCCCAAGGATATTTGGCATGCAGCCTGGGATCGAACCACCGACCTTCTGATTAGTGGCTGACCTGCTCTGCCACCTGAGCTACAGCCACCCTGTTCTTTGTCCTAATATGTGTGGCTGGGAAGGGACTGTATGTTATCCCCCTGTCATTTATAATGAGTATTATCCACATTACTCCAGTCACTGAACTGAGATGATACTCCATGTTGTTTTACGTTGTCATCTATACAACCTGGTTTTACCTGAAAAGCTTAACATTTTAATGACTTAAACCCTATTTTAAATGTGTCTTTGAAAACTGTGCCTGCTTCTTTAGTTATTATACTGAATATAATGTACAAAGATATAATACTACAATACAAATAATACTTGTATTCTGGTTCTTAATTTGAATACCATGAAGACAAAAGAGCAGGAGCTTATCTTCTTCTTACACATCTTGTTTCTGTCCCACTTCACTCTTCCTCTCTTTGCATGTAACCTAATTTATGGCTGTATGACCTTTAGGATTAACATGCTCTTTTAATGCACTAGACCTTTGTGCTGCTTGTGATGACAGGTGCTCCTGTCTCCTATTTACAGGACTCAAACCCAGGCATTGATCTGGTATTACACATTACAAGGTCTTGAAGAGATCACTTTCAGTGACAAGATGATATTATCTGGCTTTGTCCAGAAACCCCCCAAAATCTGACATGGAATAGTTTCTGCATATCCTCAAGCAAGTGTATTGTGAGCTGTAGTAGAAAAATATTTGTCCAAGTGAAAAGAATAAGAAAATTATAGAGCGAATATGATTGGGTTAGCTTTGTTTTGTAAAAAAATAAAAATAAAAATACATTTTAAAAATATGAGGCTTTCAAATGAAAGTGTTCCTATGCTGTCATTTCCCAAATTGCTGTAAATGTATTCATTCATTCTCAGCCATTTGCTTAACATGTTTCAATGGATTAAAATAAAATATAAATGCACCATATTGGATGGGCTATGGAAAAATGTGTGCTGATGGGGTAAACCAGAAGTAAAGAACCCGCTGCACCAAAAATCTATTGTGATTGTTTTGATTGCAAGAGGATCATCACAGTTTCCTCTAGTTTCTTGCACAAATTGTCCCAAAATAGTAGCTCAGTGGTCATACAGCTTCAGAAAGTGTGACGGTTTCAAAAACAAGTTATACCTCAGCCCTGCAGCCAACATGTTTAACAAGGTGCAACTCTTACTTTGAAGGCCAAAGATCTCAACTTCAGTTTGTGTTGCTCCTTTTACATTTGCACTACAGCTTGGAGAGCAGCTAGCCAGTGTTTGCAGACGAGTTTTCCACTTTAATTTAAACTACTCGCCCCAATATGCTAGCGGTAAATAAGCAATCACAAAGGGCGGTGGTTAGTCACAGGTCTCTGGACCTGTGTGACTGAGGCTTTAGCAATCATTTTCTGTTTTTGTTATAAAGGACATATTAATTTAAATCAAGTGGTTACATTGAGCAAGAGCTTTCAGCTTCCACTTGCAACCTGTGAAGTAAGCTGTAAAAGCTTTGGCCACTGTTGTAGTATTATTGCACTATTGCCTGCTGTCAGGTAATACTAATTTTTACTTCTAACAAGTGGCTGATGGTCATTGACTGTGTGACTGTAATCTTATTCACTTGTTCCATGATTGTCACATGTTCAAACTGGCACGGACAGGCAAGTTAAAGTCACGTGGTTGGCGGTCACGTGTCTCAGAGAGACAAAGACAGAGAGAGTGTCAGCAGCATATATATGTCTGACTATATAATTGGACAAGAAGCTCCTGGCATGTGCCATAAGCTCACCCTGACAAGACTCAGACATTTTGCTTGTTAGCAAAGCTCACAAAGACAGATTTAGGCCTTTGGGGGTGGGGGGACTTGTTACTGTGGCAGACAGCATGCAACACTGATACCTGCTGTCATATACCAACAGCAGCCAAAGCTCTTCCATCTTCCATCACAGAACATTTTCCCTCATGCATGTATGTAATGGCAGTAAAGTGAACCATGCAGTAACGCCATGTTCCATGTTAAACTTAAGAGAGCTGAAATTCGTTTGTTTATATTTCCCACCATTTTTTTTTTTTTTTTTAAAAAGGAACAAACAGCATCACTGCAACTACTTTCTGTTTGCATAATGCGCACAGTGTTGGTTACAGTGGGCCATAACAGCTAATCTTATCACAACCTTTGGCAGACCTCCAGCCAACACTTTCTAAACTGGTTTCCAAGGCAACCCCAACGAGCAGGACCAATTAGAACTGACAAAGGATCCGCAAGCATTAAACTGCCTGGAGATTAAAGGGAGAGACGGCAAACTCAACAAATGATAGGTGGGGTATGTCTTTATGATGTGTGTGGTGGGTAATAGGGGAGCACAGTGACTTCAGAAGCACCTGTAGGCTCACTTGTGTCTGCTTCAGTCTTTCCATTGGGGGGAGCTGTGGGGGTGAATTTAATTAAACCAATTTCAATCCTTCCTTCTCCCTATTTGGTTTCTTTCTCTGTAGGACTGCTGGGTGTTCATGTGTCAGTAGGGCTGCAGGCAGGAAACCAGATCAATAAGAAATACTTTAGAGAGAACAGTGTGTGGTTATTTTTTTTTTTTTTTTGCTTTTTTGTTTAGGGCCATCAGTCGAACACTGTGGCCTCTGAGCTGCACATCAATCACAAACCATGCTGTTTGTGCAGGGAGGTTTGTGTGTGTTTGAGATTGATTTGACAGCCTTTGTACTTCAGCAGGGGATCAACTTTACTGAATAACTGACACCCATGATCGCCTGGTGTTGGTAGGTTGTTGGATTTCTGTGTCTATTGGGGTTCAAATGCGTGTCACACTTCTAAATCGATGACCTTTCCTTTAAACCCTTTTAGTGCGCGCCTGTGTAAGAGTTTTATTCACGGAAACAGTAACCATGTGTTCGAAATCGAAAGTAAGTGTTTAATGTAAAAATGTCAGCTCAGTGCACTCACAGACCGTGTGAGAATCATTGACATCAGCCCGACACTCCCTGGTTTGTGATGTCCCTTTAAAATAAATTGAAATCTTATCTTAGCATTTTTTCTATTGCCACATTGGTTTGTAAAACCAAAGTAAGGGATGGATGTGACTGACCACACGCACAATGTGTCCACTAGTCAATCATGTTGTCACAGTCTGGCGGAGGACTGTATGTATTGTGTAGCGTGGACCCAAAACGCAGACACGAAGGAACTTGGACCAAAACTTGACTATCAACAAAAAGCGAGCCGTTTAATATGGCTGATAAGAAAGTACAAAAACAAAAGGCAGATGCACACAAGAAAGATCCTAACTAGAACTAAACTGGGAAAACTAAATGCTAAACACAAAAGGTAAAGAACAAAACCTTGAACATTGCAAAAAAAAAACCCTAAACATGGAAAATCCTGGAAACAATTCATATCCTTTTCCAACAACTATTTCTTTGATCCTGTGGTCCATCCTTTCTGCCTTTGCCAAAACAAACATTTGCCTTAATTTTATTTTCAGCTCGAGTTTCTCTTCCGCTTTTTTGTTTATTTATATATTTTTGTACCTTTTCTTAATAAGATTGGAGGAGATTGGGTGTAGTCCTCTCCATGGTAACGCTGTTTCCCATTCTTGCACTCACTGTCGCTGTCTCTCATCACATAATTCTGCCCTACCCTGTGCTTTATCGCTGCGCCTTCTCCCTATATGCGCTCTCCCCTTACCCTCCCCTTCTCTCTCTCTCTCGCTCCTTGTCTCCCTTTCTCTCTCACATATGCACACACACATACACTCAACCTCTCCTCTGGTCCACTGGTCTCCTGCTAATGCTGCACCGTCCACTGACTGCGAGATGTTCAGTCCAGCTTGTAAAGGCTCTGCAGGGGAGCCGAGGTAAGGCTTTCACCCTCGTCTCTTCTGGAGCTGAGATGTTACTGCTGCTGTTGTTGGCTGGTGACAACTGCTAACTGAGAGCCAAATGCCTGATGGGAAGAGCATTAGTGTGTGCGTGTTTGTGTGTGTGCTGATTTGTGTGAGAACTCACCAGCTGGAGTAACGGGCTTTTTGTTTGTTTTTAGGTTAGGTCTGGCACTTGTGATCTGCATACACGCACACAGCAAAGGGAAGTGATCTTACTTCCTTTGACATTCATTTATTTGTGGTCTTTTTTATGTCTTCTTAAACTTAGGAGTATGTTGTTGTCTGCATGCATGCAGGGAGTCCGCTGAGAAAGAGCCTTTGGAAATCTGATGGCACGCAGATATTCTTCCCTCCAATGCAGCAACAGTGCTGCAATGTCTTTTTATGGTGGTGCACTCTCTG